AAACTACCGGTGTGCTGCTATACGGTGCAGAAGCACGGCCGTTATGTGTGAAGGATAAAAACAGTCTATCGGTATTCAAATATTACTATTTTTTGTATCGGATGAGTCTGGCGAACTAACAAACAGTTTCGAGGTTAGGTGAAGAGTATTAAGCTGTCGTGGCCACGTAGTAACGCCATTGCTTGACCTCTGTAGATTGCGATGTTTTACGCGTGTTACTGGTGTGCTATGTTTAACGAGGCAGGTAGTGTGTGAGGAAAGCGTTGGACGGTCGAACTGTAACTATGCACAAAGGTACGAAAAACCCTGGCTGGAAGAATTGGTCGGTCAGATCACGTTAGACTTCCCGTTTGGACCTCTAGAGCAACCTAACCGATGATTCGAGACACTGAGTTATATATCCGATTGTCGTAAAGAGAACTATGTACATCTAATTTACCTGCATGCTCTTTCCTTGCTTAGTAATGATCTCAGGTTTCTAAAGCTTCCGTTTGCTTACCCGTCATGGTTTGACGAAATGGGCAACGAGAAGATAGAAACTATTTGCGGTGCACCAATGTTAATGGTTGTGTAAACTGAAAACTTCTATTTGGGACCGCTATTCACTGATATTTGCGAAAAGCCAATCTCAGGAGTAGTATTAGAATCAGAATCTTGATTCAGGATTATTCGCTGTTAATTAATGCCTCATTCGAGAACTTCTGGTGCCACGTTGAACAACGTGGGATGCAGTTGAAAATATTCCCTGCGGGGTAATGTAGTGAAAATGTCGTTAATATTGTTCTCACCTTATCATGTTATCATAGATATTTCTATCTATCGTCGCACATACGTATATTCAAGGGTCATCAAGCGTCCGGGATTGTAGTTTCAACTCCACTCACCACGCGGTCCACACAAACGACGTGCACTGCTGTTACATCAACCGACGCTCATTTTTGTGCTATATGCTTGTTTGTTTGCGACAGCGAGATGATCATGAGTGTGAGCGCGAGCGCGAGCGCAGCAGTGGCCTGTCTCGCCGATTCGAATCGGTCGCCCCGCAGATCGATAGGGACCCAAATCTCTAATGCTCGATCGGCAACATCAATCATTCCGATTCGATGAATACAGCGTTGATAAAGATTGATCAAACACATACACACACACACACACACACACACNCTCGTCTGATTCAGGCCAGCACGAATGCCGAATGTACGTCTGATCAAACACACACACACACACACACACACACACACACACACACAAATGAACTGAGTCCTCTGTTTCTGATTCGGATCCATCAGTGTTACCGGTATCAGCAGGGTGCAGTTGAGGTCACGCACACAGATACACACACATGTGCCTATCTTGGTAGGCAAATCAGACAGCAAACACCGCGGGGGGAGGTATAGATAGGTGCTTATTCGCACAGGTTTACTCCTAGCACGCGTTCTATTCCATCCGACAGAGAGACCGAGCGCGAGCAAATAATCTTCCATCTGCACTGCATTGCGCCTGTAGAAGTTCGAATCTATGGTACTCGATGACCACTCCTCTGTGTGCATGCGTTTGCGCGCACAAGTTTCATCTGAGATTTCATGTCCCGATTTGCCGAATACATGACTCGGTCGGCATTTCATCACCAAGGAACACACAAAGGGAATGGAATTGGGAATAACAAGTCACACGGATTTGCTCTCGGTAGTTTGACTCCAATGTCGAAGAAGACTGTTTAGGGAGAAACACGAGGACAATTCACATAGCTCTACTTTTACCGATAGAAGTTTGATCGTTCCTCACGTTTTTCTCATTGTCTCCTTCGGCTCACTTGCCGAAGACCGGGCAGAACCTGACGATTCTCTCCGATTGATTTACGTTAACTGATATGTGCATTCGATGAAATGTGGAATGTGGTTCTCATTGTTACAACTCATCCCTACACGTTTTAAATACCGATACGATACCGTTCCGATCTCCCTTATCTGCTTCAACTGTATTTCTGTCTTGTTTTGTTCTTTCCCTCGCACAGATCCTTCATCTTACGTTGCTCAACGCGAATGCATGCTGGACGCGAATGGTGTCAATCCAGACGGTAAGGCTTTTCCGTCTTTTCTCGTCCAAGATGTGAAATACCGTTTTTCTGACGTGTTCAGCTCATAGCATATCCCCAAGTGGTTCCATCAATCCTGTCAAAATCCCGTTCCTGAAATTTGATTGTATCTCCGGTTTTAGTGATGGTTAACCTGTTTGAATCACGATCACTAACGTGTATCACTACTCGAATCTTGTCACAGTCAGCAAAGTTGATGACAGACAGCTTCACTGTCTTCCACACCTATTCTATCAAGGCCTTACGCGGTCCGCTACGCAAAGTTCCATACAGGGCTAAGCTAACTGTTGAATGATCAGTAGATTTTCACACACACACACACACACACACACACAGGTTTCTGATAATGAAACCAACCGTATTGCACTGGTCACAGACGACAGTGGGTTCGAACCATGGCTTACACATGTCTCATTCCTCGTGCTCTCGGAGAAAAAGGACACTTAATTTTCGTGCAGGAGAACCGCTGCATAGTCGAAATTTCGTACGGGAATTGCAAAGTGTGACTGAACCTCGTCGGGCAGTGGGGTGTACATCAAGCCACAAATTTTTGTCTGTCCGCGATTAGGCACTGTCTCTGTCTTATTCAACCAAGTTGATGGTTCCCGCCTCACATCGATGTGATTGTGGAATGAATTGTTGAGTGCAGACAGGACACGAGTATCCACTCACATTGGCACCACCACCACCCATAATCAGCGACTATAGTTCTCATTCGTTCGGACTGAGTCCACGGGTGTACGCATGCATACTCTGCTTGATACAGCATGACAGCCCCGTTCCACTCGCTGAGCTTCTGTCAAAATCAGCTCTGACCGATCAATGTCACCACCTCTTGCTTATCATAGACCTGGTGTATAGGTCACTTGCTCCACCGCTTAGTACTATTTGAGTGGAGTAGATATATATTTATACATATATTTCTATCCAGAGAGAGCGTTTCATCTACTCCAGACGGTGTAACTCTCCGATCGGTGTTACGTTTGTCACGATACTCATTTCACTGAGACGTGTGTTAGGAGGGGGTGAGGGCGATTGGTGGTGTTGATGGTGGTGTTGGTATCCTTCGGGACGTCGAAGTTGATGAAGCAAGCAACCAACCAACCAAGTGACGGAGACAGCAAGCAAAATGGCCGCTCTCTATCTGAAGTGTCTTGTTGCCTGTTTCACTTGCTCTCACCCTGTTATAGGTTCTCTCTGACCTGTCAGTTAGATTGGAATAAAGCTCTATAAATTGTCCGGTCCGCACTGAATCGGAACATATACACGTCCCTCGGTTGCAGTTCACCGGTTGACAATGATCAGAGTTGGATGAATTCATTTTTTTTGTTTCCTAGGCCTTAGTCGTTATTTTCAAAATCGAACAGCTGCCCAGCAACACTGATTTCCTACCAGTGAGGTGTATACGATTGTTAGATATGAGTGAAGAATTCACCTCAAAATCGCGCTAAGTATGTGATTACTAACGAGAACGTTGCTGAGTCTACCTGTCTACCTAAGCGACTGTCTGTTTCTTTGCTTGCTTGTCTGTCTGTCCGCTTGCCTGTCAGTAATTGTAATGATCGTCTGTCTGCTCACAGACAGCTTATTTACCTGCTTACCCGGCTGCGTGTCTACGAAATATTTATTCACTGTTAATGGTTGAATCGGATCATGATAATACAATTTACGGCCACATTGCTGACTGATTGCTTGTAGCGAATGGACTAAGACTTTGCTGTTACTGTCAATCGATATTGCAACAGTACAGTATCAACCAATCGGTGTTTCACTGCCTGTTTGGTCGAAACCACTCATGTAATAAGGTGATATGTCTCACCAAGAGTAGCTGTGCAGGTTCGAATAGCACGTCATTCACAGTTGAATTGATAATAAGAAGAACACGTGTGTGTGTTGAAGTGTGCGCTTCTCGGTTCTATTCTTCTTCTTCGTCTTCACTGTTTCTTCCGGATTTTGAAACATCTCCTATTAACCAATTATTTCTTCATGATTGACCACCCCATTTCCGCATCGTGGGATCGATTATTGTCTCTAACATGCGTCATCCATTGGGGTTTTCCATCTTTGGCCATAATCTACGCGATGATGGTCTAACGATTTCAGTCACTGTCACTGCCATCTAAGCAGCTTCACCATCGTCCGGCTCAATATCAGGTCTAATCTAGTGGAGTCTACTTTGATTCATCAGCCCAAACGTAGGAGTTTACTTCTTCTGTTGTTCACCCTTCTCAGGTTTCGATCTCAAAACGGGTTCACTTTGTCACCATGGCCAGTTCCATACTGTTTGCTTGACTGTCATTGACAGCTAGTTTCTCTACCAGATGAATTGGAATTGTATGTACTTCTACGGCTCCCGGTTAATTACCGCATCGTATGAATGCAACACGCCACTCTGGATGCATTCCACCTGAGCAGTAGAGACTGATAATTCTGTTCTACTTTCCGGAATACCGAAAACTACTCCTGGTTTTTGATGATGCTGACGATTTCACACTGGTGCTATACACTCCACTTTCAGCTGCAAACGCTCGAAGCGCGTTCTTCTCTGAGCGTCTCGCATGACTCATGTGTGTGTGTAGGTGACCAGACTATCGCCACTTCATCTTTTGCGGAATAAGATCCCTCTACACATTCTATTTCATGTATATACACACTCACATGTTGAGGTCATACATGGGAAGAAATTAAATCAGGAATGACCGGCGTGTTACATACACACGCACACATCTGAGATGTACATCACCATCACCACCACTATCACCACCGCGCCCATCACATCCGTATGCGTGTGTGCCATAGACATGGAAGCCTAATCAAGACCCATCGAGCAGCTGGTCAACTCTCAAGAGGATTGTTTCGATGTCAACGGGAGCAGCAACAGCAGCGAGAG